CGTTGTGGGGGCCCCAGGGGAGCTGGTAGGGCTTGGGGTGCTCAGCAAGACTGGGGGTCCCCAGGAGCTCTGGGTGATGCTCCTTTTTGCCCCGCTTTTTCCTCCTTTATGCCCGTTTTTTCCCCCTTTTTGCCCCTCTTTTTCCTCCTTTATGCCCGTTTTTTCCCCCTTTTTGCCCCGCTTTTTCCTCCTTTATGCCCGTTTTTTCCCCCTTTTTGCCCCGCTTTTTCCTCCTTTCTGCCTCATTTTTTCCTCCTTTATGCCCGTTTTTTCCATGTATACACCAGAGCCCTTGGGAGACCCAAAGGTGTGGGAGCCCCTGGACCACCCTGCAGCTGGTGTTGAGTGGTTTCACCATTTCCAGCCCTTCCTCTTGCACAACACCCGGCGGGTGTTGCCATCACCATGGCTCTGCCATGGTCCTTTCACCGCTGTGACACAATCCTGCAGCTCCAGCCATCGGCCAAACTGTGACCTCTGCGGTGTCCCTGCCATCCCCAGCCCTGGGTGAGCCCCAGACTGTCCCTTCCCATCTCAGCCCCCAAATCCCAACTGCTCCCACTCCAGAAATCCCGAACAAGGCAGCACTGTCCCCACTCAGCCGGGTGTCTGTCCCACGCCTGTCCCCAGCCATCGGGTGGCCCTGSCTGATAATACCCCAAGTGTTTGTGGCCTCGTTTCAGCTGAAGAGCCCTTTTTAAATTATTTTTTTTAGCTTGGTCTGCCTCCCTCACAGCCCTCCCGAAACCATGTCCTCTCAGGGGGTTCAGCCCCAGATCCCTTCTCAGAGAGGGACATCACAGTTTTTGGGTTGTCATGAGTGAGCAGGTGACAGAGACCCCGAAGAGCAAGGAGATGGGTGACATCCAACCCCATGCTCAGCCAAACTGCACCCCATGGCCTGAGGGATCCCCAAAATCCCATCCCTCGGAGGGATCAGCATCCTCCAAAGGGCCCCCAGGTGGAATTTTCCCTGAGCTGAGACTGRGGGTCTATTTTGGAGCAGGATCCTGTTGGCCCATGAGGACGAGGAGGAGGTGGAGGAAGAGGAGGAGGCAGAAATAGCCTGGCTGAAAGCCGAGCACTGGCAAAACCGCTTGGCACCATCAGAAACGAGCTGCACACAGGAACCAGGGAGGAAAAGGGATTAAAAAAAAAAACCCCTAAAGTCCCAAAGGAATGCTGATCTCGGGCAAAGCCCAGGGAGAGGAGGGTGAGGGCTGCCCTCAGCCTCACAGGTGCGTGGGTCTGGCTTGTGCCCCTCAAAAAAAAGAGTTTTTGGGGTGTCAGKGGCACTGGGGCAAGGAGATTCTGTGCTCTGAGGGGTTGCTTTGCAATTTTCTTTGCTGCCCTTCCGAAACTGCATCAGCCATGGGGGGAATTGGGGTGTGAGAGTGTGAGGTGCCCCCTCCCAGCCCTGGCAGCGATGCCACCTTTGGGTGTCTCCCTCTATTTCTARCTCCATGTCTGGCTCAGCCACCAAGCTGGGGTATTTTTGCCGTGTGGTCTCAGGACYAAATTCCCTCAGTATCAGGATTTAAAAAAAAAAAAGGAACATTTTTCAGGTTTTTTTTAACCAAATCTTGACTTGCACAGTGCCCTCCCAAGGCTTGGGGGTACTGCAGCACCTCGTACGTTCACATGCAGGTAAAAGAAATATTCCCCAGCTCCTTGAAGAGTGAAAATGCTCTGTTATTCCCCTTAAAACGGAGCTGGAGGCTTCAGGAGTGAATAAAGAATTGCTGCAGGTTTGATTTATCCCCGTCTCGGGGGTCCAGCGCGCAGCATCCCCTCCCCCGCGCCTCCGCCCCTGCCATCCTCCCCCTCCGTGACGCTGACTCATCTGCCATCATCATCATCATCATCATCATCATCATCCTCCCCGCACGAGGAAGGGCACTCGGAGGGGCTGCATTGCAGATCGCAGAGCCAGCAGACAAAAGCGACGCTGCAAAACGCCCGCGGCTTCCCCGGCACAAAGAGCGCGGCGGCACCGAGCGCAGCCCGACACCTCCGCAGGTACGGGATGCGCGCCGGGGAGGATGCACAGACAGCGATGCTTTGGATTTTGGGAGGAATTTGGGTGGAGGGGATGCTGGAATTTCTTTTTGAAGGGGGGATTTATCTACAGACAGCGAGGTTTGAGTGGATAAAGGTGTTTTTGCGTCCGTGGGATGAGCAGACCACKATGATCCTGTGGGAAATGCTCTTTTTTCCCCTCCACAGGAGGGTTTTCCCCTCCACATTCATTCAATTTTACTATATGTTTGATTATTATTGTCACTAAATTCTCTTTTCCCCTCTCCTGTCACTAAACTCATTTTTTTCACCCTTTGAAGCTTAAAAATCCATGTCCACAACACCCATCACCATTAATAATTCTCTGCTGTTGTGCAGCAAAAAAAAAAACAAAAACCATGGATAGATCCCTAGGGATGGACCCCCAGGGATAAATTCCCAGGAAAGAGACTATTTTAAAAGTCCTGTGGCTCAGTTTACCCTGAGGGGGGTGACACAGGAGCCTTTCATAGCCTCTGACCGACATCCAAAACCTTAAATTTAGCAGCTGATCAGCCCTCCTCACACAGGGCACATCCAAAGTATGCCTGAATCATCCTGGAGAAATCTCTGSGATTTAACACAGGGGAATCAGCGGCAAAATCAGGATGTTTTGGGTTAGTCTGGATTTTTTTTTTCCCCCACCTCCCATGCCAAACGAGGAGGTGAATGACATAACCGAGCCGGGGAGAAGCTGAGTCACRGCCGGGCTGATCCGTGCCTTGTGCTGCTGCTTTTTCCCGATTTTTGGTGGATCGGGGTGGGGCTGCAGGGGGAATTCTGCAGCAGGATGGAGGGCACGGCAGGGATGGGTGGGGTGGGGTGGGAATGCCGGGCGAGGATCCTTCCAGTGCTTTCCAGAGGGTTCTGTCACGGGAGGGAAGGAGGGAGGGAGGGATGGGGTGGATCAGGGGGAGGGGGATGCACAGGGATCCCCCCTCTCTGCCCACTCCACAGGGACACGGACACGTTTTGGGTCCAGGAAATGGAAAAACAGTTCATTGGGATGCTGCTGGTCCAGCTCTGCTCCCCAGAGCKGACAGGATGGATTTCAGGAGAAATTGGGAAGGGGATAATCCATCCCCACCCTGTCCTTCCCTCCCATACTGTTTGCATGGGGAAACTGAGGCACGGTCCTCTCAAATTACGGTGCAGAGAAGGGCTGTACCCAAGGCTTTGGATAAAACTCTGGCAGAGCTCAATCCTGCGCTTAGACCCAGCCTAAAGTCAAACCTCCAGAATCCCACCCATCACCTCCTTTTTTTTGGGGTGGTATCCTGCAGGATTGGGTCAACACGACAACACCTGAGATTTTTGACCACTTTGGGGCAACTCCTGTGCTTTTGGTAGAGCTTTTCTCTTCCTCTTCACCCCTTTCASAGCYSGAAAATGCTGGACACCATCAGCAGCCAGTACGACTCGTTCATCTACTGGAGGATGCCGATTCCTCGGCTGGACGTGGCGGAGCTGGAGGGGCTGGGGCTCGCAGACATGGCTCTCTACAAGCCCAAAGGAGCGCTGGCCAAGCTGGGCGAGCTGGGCAACCACGACCTGTCCCAGGAAGAGGACAGTCTGCTGCAGTTCAACAGCTTTAACTTCTGGCGAGCTCCCATCGCCAGCATCAGCTCTTTAGATTTTGATTTAATTTGAAGCCTCTCCCAAGCCCTCCTCACCCCCCTCCCAGCTCTCTCCCTTTCCAGGCATGCCAGGATTTGGTTTTGTTGTCAGTTTTGGAGGTTGTTGGGTTGGGTTTTTCTTGGTTTCTGGGCAGTTTTGCCGTTGCTAATTCGCTCAGCAGTTCACCGTGGCCTTGATGGTGAAAATCTCCAACCCCTCTCCGCCTTCTCCCCCTTTCCCTCCCGGAATCACAACGGTGCAAGTGGGGAAAAAAAAAAGGGGAGGAGATGGAAACAACTCCCCTATTGCCCCTCTCCATTTCCAGAGCGTGTGGAGATGCCACCCCCTCATGTCAGTGTGACTGTGTGACAATTTTGCAGCTCATTTCTCATTTGCTTTTTAAAGAAACTCATTTGTGCAAACAGGGCACCAGAGGAGCAATGGGAATCGCCCTCGTTTTTCAGAAAAACATCGACCCTCTGCACTCTCCTGGCCCAATTTCTCCAAAATCTGCTTCATCCCTTAACCTTCCCCTGAGGAATGCAAGGTGGAAGAGGCAGGGATGTGCCCAGTGTATCAGAACAAACCTTTTTCTTGAGGAAAAAAAATCACTCTGAGCCTTGTGCTGTGAGCCCAAGCAGAAAATATTATGTCCAGGAGCATAAATATACATGGAAATGCTCTGACTTTGCTTGGTGGGGCCAAAGCTGGGTGTTTGTTGGCCCAAATTTGATTTTTTTCATGGTTTTTTCTGGTTTCTTCCCAGTGCAGATCCTGACTGGGAATATCATAGGGCCTGGAAGAGCAACAGGGGCAGAGGTGAAAGATAAGATGGAGAATTTAGTTTAATCTTACTCTCAAATGAAAATATTTCAGGCTTTCCACTCACTTAATCAACGCCTTTAAAAACAACAACAAACCCTAACCCTAAAAAAGAAAAATTTAAATGGGGGGTGTCAGTTCGGGGAGATTTTCACCTGTTGAGGTTTATTTCTGAGCATCATCTCAAAAGGCAGGGGAAAACGCAACATGGAATAATTTTTGGCTTTTGAACAGGTTTATTTTCCCTGTCAAGGTTGTTTTTTGGGATTGATTTGTCTTCTTGAATGTTCATTTTGGGTTTGATTGGGGTGAAGTAATGTGGAGCATCCCAAAATCACCCTGAGAGTTGGTGGGTTCATGGCTGGGGGCAGGCTGAGGTTGCACTCAATAAAAGTGCCACAAATAGGCTAAAATTGGAAAAAAATCTGCATTCTACTGGGAAAACGGGATGCGGCTCTCATGTAATCTCCAGAAATAACCAAGTCTGCTGATTCTGAACAACCATCTGTGTAAAACCAGAGGTGAAAAATGTAAATTCTCCTCTGCAGAGCTGTTTGCCTTCTGTGTTCCCAGCTGGGAAAAACTGCAGAAATATTTATTATGAAACTTTAAATAAAATCAGTTCAAACCATACACATTCCCGTAGACATGTAGACTGACATCAAGTTCTTTGGCATTAAATTGTCTTAAATCCCTTTACAGTGAGCTGCGAACTGACCCCAATGTCTTTGTTCATGCTGTGGAGGACTTAAGCATGGAAAAACTAAGCCTAAAGGATTATTTTAAGCACATTAAGGATATTATTTACACTTCAGCTTTTCCAAACCCCACAGAAAAACACCCCGGAGAAGAAAGAGGACTCAGAGTTTCAAATTTGCTACAAAAAAAAGGCATTTTGAGCAAGTCGGGGGCACTGTAGGGGGTAATGCAGCCTGAGGGGAGCTCAGTCCTAGACTGGAAGGTACTCAGAGGGGATAGACACACACAAACAAAATACACGCATGTAAGTAGAGGTATATTTACAGACGTTTAGACGTTTATTTTAGCCAAAATCCTAAAAAAAAACACCCACACGCGATCGCCTCAGCGAGGCGCCGCCGCCATTTTGTACTTGGCGCCAAAATGCCTCTGCCGGATCTAACTCCAGGGACGCATCACCATCCGCCCCCTCTGCTGATTGATGTTCTTCCGCCAGAGGCAAACACTCCCCTGTCAAACCTCTCCCGACCGCCCCAGGGCGCGGAGAACGATGGAAAAATAATAAGAAGAGATTCCCACACTCGCCACAGTTCCTGTCGCGACAGAACGCTGGCGGATCAGCCCGATTTTCCTCCGCCGCCCCGGAGGACTCTTTTGCCGCCGGTCCTGTATCCTTACGCCGCGCGGGGCCGCCATTTTGTGAGGCCGCGGCGGGAAGGGCGGGAAGGGCGGGGAAAGGGACGGAGCAGCCGCGGGCGGGGAGGGGCGGAGCGAACCGTGAGGGGCGGAGCGAACCGTGAGGGGCGGGGGAGAATCGTGAGGGGATTCGGGGACCACCGTGAGGGGATTCAGGGACTCCTGTGAGGGGATTCAGGGACTCCTGTGAGGGGATTCAGGGACCACCGTGAGGGTATTCAGGACCCGTGTGAGGGGATTCAGGGCTCCCGTGAGGGCTTCAGGGACCCCCATGAGGGGCCTCAGGGATCCGTGTGAGGGCTTCAAGACCCACTGTGAGGGATCCCTGTGAGGGGCTTCAGGGACCCCCGTGAGGGGCTTCAGGACCCACTGTGAGGGGATTCAGGGATCCGTGTGAGGGATTCAGGACCCACTGTGAGGGGCGGGGGAGAATCGTGAGGGGCTTCAGGACCCACTGTGAGGGACTCCCGTGAGGGGCTTGAGGGACCCGTGTGAGGGGATTCAGGGACCTCTGTGAGGGAATTCAGGAGCCACCGTGAGGGGATTCAGGATCCACTGTGAGGGATCCCTGTGAGGGGCTTCAGGGACCCCTGTGAGAGGATTCAGGGACCCCCGTGAGGGGCTTCGGGACCCACTGTGAGGGGCGGGGGAGAATCGTGAGGGGCTTCGGAGACCACCGTCAGGGGATTCAGGGATCCGTGTGAGGGGATTCAGGAGTCACTGTGAGGGATCCCCGTGAGGGCTTTAGGGACCCCTGTGAGGGGATTCAGGACCCACTGTGAGGGGCTTCAGGGATCCCTGTGAGGGGATTCGGGGACCCGTGTGAGGGGCTTCGGAGGCCACCGTGAGGGGATTCAGGGACCCCTGTGAGGGGCTTCGGGACCCCTGTGAGGGGCTTCGGGGACCACCGTGAGGGCATTTAGGGACCCCCGTGAGGGGTTTCAGTGAGAGTTTCAGGGATCCACTGTGAGGGGCTTCGGGGACCCCCGTGAGGGCTTCAGGGACCCCCATTAGGGGCTTCAGGGATCCCTGTGAGGGCTTCAGTGCTCCTGTGAGGGGATTCAGGACCCACTGTGAGGGACCCCCGTGAGGGCTTTAGGGACCTCTGTGAGAGGATTCGGAGACCACCGTGAGGGGATTAAGGGATTCTTCCTCTGATCGGGGCGATCTTGAAGCTCTGAGGAAGGGGAGACCCCCGTGAGGGGCTTTGGGGACCCCCATGAGGGGATTCAGGGTTCCTGTGAGGGGATTCAGGGACTCCTCCTCTGATCGGGGCGATCTTGAAGCTCTGAGGAAGGGGAGACCCCCGTGAGGGGATTCAGGGACCCCCATGAGGGGATTCAGGGCTCCTGTGAGGGGATTCAGGGCTCCTATGAGGGGATTCAGGGACCCCTGTGAGGGATTCAGAGACCCCCCTGAGGGGATTCAGGGACCCTCCTGAGGGGATTCAGGGATTCCTCCTCTGATCGGGGTGATCTTGGAGCTCTGAGGAAAGGGGGGGACCCCAGTGATTCGAACACCTCCCCCAGAGAACAAATCCCATCACCCACACCGTGCCTTCCACCTCACCCTTCATTCTTACACCGGGAAAAATTCTCAATCTCTTCCTTTTAGCCAAAACCACCTTAGGTAAGATCTTCCTGGATCTCCAGTGTAAAAATTCTGAGAAAAACCGCCGAGATTGCTCGCCAGTAGAGGGCAGGTGGGGATTTAGAAAAGGAAAAATGCTGAAATGTCGCCAAACAC